ATACACATCTAAAAAGAATATTTATGTTCGCAATAGAAGGCATATTGTCTTCCTATGAGTTACAGAAGAGAACTCACTGCCTCAATCACCTTTGTTCAGACACTTCAGTTTGTTCCCAGGATCTGACAAGGAGTGCTTTAAAATGGCTGTGAACTGAATGTGCTTTTTGGTAACCAACATGCAATGCAAATGAGTACCCCAAATATTCCTCCCAGGGGCAGAATTCAAGCAGTGTGGGTTGCCTGGAGTGCCTATTTGCATGTCAATCCCTGTGGTCTTCCTACTCACAGTTACATCACTTGATAGCTAAATTTTAGTTCCAGGAGTAAATTCCTGACTTTAGAGAGCAGAAGCATAGACTTGGTGTCTCCTCCTTACTTTTGGCAACCTCTCTCATTACGTTTTTACTCTACTGTACGTGCACTTCTGATGAGCACCAAAGCCTGTCCGTTTCTAGGGACCAATGGAAAACTTTGCCTTCACCCTCTGAATGTTTGCTGAAAATCAACTGACAAAAGGCAGATTAGTGGGAGAAAAGGCACACAAATTTATTAGCATGCACAGGGGAGAACCACAGAGTGATTATCCCACTATGAATTGGGATAGAGATGCTGACATACCCTTCTTCTTAGGGAAAAGGAAGGTGGGGAAATGTGGATTATTTTAGGGGATAATAAATGATATTTAGGGGAATTCAATGGTCTTGAAGAATGTACAAAGGCCTGGAAAAAGTCTTTTGGGCTTGCAGAGCAGACAGTGGTTTGTGACAAATATGTCCAAATGTGTAGACAGACTTTGGTCTTTCTTCTTGCAATGAGTTAATAAAAACTCAGGAAGGGATCAGAGGTCATTGTTTTCTTTTTGGCAAGTCTGGACTTCAGGTAGATAAGGGAAGTTCAGAGAATAACTTCATCCTGTGCTTTGGGAAAGAAAGGATTGAGAGACAGGAAGCAGGGAAACTCAGAGAGATCTTGAGGCTTCTGCAGTTCAGCAGGTGAAAGCCCTGCATTTTGGGCTATTGGCTTCTGAGCCCCAACAAGTTCCCCTGGGAAACTGTTCTATGGTTTCCTTTTTCTTACTTCACTATTTATCAGATTTTCAGAGTGCATGCCCCACTTTGGGGTACTTCAAATAGATGTGAAGCATGCTTCTTGTCACATCTCCAGTGGTTGAATAGTCTCCAGTGAGATCATTAAAAGTGAGGGACTGCCAGGTACAGTGGTATGTACCTGTACTCCCAACTACTCAGGAGGCTGAGGTGGGAGGATGGCTTGAGCCGAGGAGTTCAAGGCCAGCCTGGGCAAGACGTTTCAAAAAAAAAAAAAAAAAAGGAGGGACTACGTTTGCGTGATACACATCTAAAAAGAATATTTATGTTATTAGTTATTTATACTATTCTTCATCTAGAAAAGATTTGAAGGGCTTGTTTCATTCACTTGTGAGTAATTAAGCATCTCCACTGTCCTTATTTGGACCTATTTTTATGTATCCTTTTTATATTTGGAAATAGTTTGGCATTTGCTTTGGAATATGGATGCAGAGGTAGAGTGGAGATGTGGGCATCACAAAGTCTTCAGTCAACACGTCCTTATTTGAAGTGGTCTCTGGCATATATTTTCATTGTTCCTTTTGCAACTATTTTAACTAAGTGTTTGTTTCAGAATCTATTAGCTCTCAGGAGGATATAATCTAATAAAGATTTAATCATGCATTTTATATATTCTTTTGACGTGCCTTTTTTAAAAAATTGGGGAAAAATCTTCTTTCTGGCAAATGAAATGCCCACTCCATGGGTAATGGCTTATATGTTATAGACATGGTGGACTGAGTTCTTCTCTTACTGAATGGAAAGTGACCTTTGAAGCCATAAGAAACCTTTAGTTGGCAACTTTGGGTGTTAAAAACATTGAAGTATTGAGCACAAGAAAAACTAGGACTTTATTGTAACTTTTTATATTTAGAAATAGTTTGGCCTGTTCTTTGGAATATGGATGCAGGGGTCTAGTGAAGATGAGAACATTATCATTTCTTCAGTCAACAGGTCCTAGCAAAGGTTCCATATTTGAGGGGTAGTGTTATTGAAATTGAAAGTGGTTTTTCAATATAAAAATGTGGCACCTGGCAATTTAAAGTTGCAGTACATTCCAAGTTCGAAAAGCAATTATTCTGAAATACCTCACTCAAAATATAGCACTAGTTAAATTACAGACCAACTAACTAACTTTTAAGTGAACTAGAAATCACTGTAGGTAAATGTTTTTCTGACTTCAATGTGGAGAAGGCTTTTTAAATTTTACCACGAAGAATATAGGTAGGCCTCACTACATTAAAAAAATTCTATACTTCAGAAAACATTATCCTCAATATTAGAAGATAAACATCAAATTGAGGGTAAAATTGCAAAATATGTGGGAGGTAAAAGATTACAGCTTTGAAAATATAAAGAGTACTGAACAATCAGCAAGAAACTAATTAAACTTGGTAAATTTAATACAGATGCTTGTCTTTATTTTTAAAGCCCCACTGAGTAACAATAAAGGAATATTTTAAAAAAGAACCTACAAAGACAAAAGGACAAGGAAGTAGACAACTGATAGCTAGAGATATTAATCAAATTTTAGGAGTCAAAAAGCAGATGAACACGTGGGAATTAATGTCACAGAGCAGAGAAAGCTGACACCTAACTGTAAGAGACAAATAAAATAAGAAGGAACAATAGGCTTAACTGAATACTAGAAAAGCCAGGAATTGGAGTCACCAAGTACTTCTGAAGGTAGAAGTGTGAACCTAAGTGGAAAACCAGTTTGGTTAAATGTCTTTAAAAGGATAAGCTTGAGACACTCAGACCTACTTCCCTATGTCATACAGTAATGAGACTCCCCTCCCTCAGTACAGTAAAATATTCAAGTTTTACTTTTTGAAGACACTGAAACATGGAGTAACCAGCCCTAGGAACATCAGACAAACCTGAGGGAAGGGGCAATAGGCCACAGGGTAAGAAAACAATTGCCTTTTTTTCTGCTTGCATCTGAGAAGGATGACAACCAGGTTTACTCCTCTGGGGTTCCCTACAAAATAGCCAGACCTTCTCAACCACTTCAGAGTGGGATCTTACCGTCAATAAGCTCTTCCTGGACAACAGGCTTACTAGTCCTAGGTTTGCTGTCACACTTTTAAATTTGGATCAGTTACCAAGAATCACTGGTATTTGAGAAAAGCCTCTCATCAAATGAACCAACAGATGACAGAAGAGATGATGTGGAAAGCAGAGAAAAGCTTAAAATGAAACTATCATTAGTATCTTCAGAGATATAAGAAAATATTTTGATTCTAGTAGTAAAAAAATACATTCCAGCTATATAAAGAGGGGACATATAAAGAACAATAAACAGCCCTTGGATATTGGAAATATGGCAGAAATAAATATAATGGAAAGATAGGAGGATACAGTTGAGGTCAGATATCTCTTTAACAAGAGCTATAAATAGAACAAAAAGATAAAGAATTAGACAATAGGAACACGTATAGGAAAATAAGATTATTCTGAGGTTCTAACATTTATATAACAGAAATGTTATATAAACATTTCTGTTATATAAATATATATAACAGATGAGGAGTTCAGAGAAAATAGAATAATGCAAGAAAACTTTTCCAAACTGAAAGATATGAATATAAACACTGAACAAAATTTCCAAATACCCACAAAAGCAATACTACTACTAATAAAAGCCATACCAAGGCACATTTGCATAAAATATCAATACAATTAGGAAAAAGAGAAGATTCTGAAAGCTTCCAGAGATGATGATGATGATAACAGTAATAATAGTATTCACATACAAAGGATCAGGAATCAAAGGGACATTTTTCAATAGTGACACTTGGGACTAGACAACGATGAAGCAATGCCTTCCAAATTGTGAAAGAAAACGATCATGAACCTGGATTTTTATACCCAGGCAAACTGTCAATCAAGTATGAGAGCAAAATACAGAGCTTACCAGATGGTCTAAAAAAAGTCTTCTACATGTCTTTTCTCAGGGAGATTCTGTAGGATATGCTCCATGAAAATCAGTGAGTCACAGCAGAAAAAGTAAAATGAGATCCCAATTTAAAATAGAGGAAATTCCTATAATTACCACTTAATAGCAGACAAAAAGGACAACCAGTATAAACTGGAACTGGAGGATGAAGAACCTTAGGGGAGAAGTTTCCAAGAAAATAATAAAAGGGAAACTGTACAGAAAAGCCTTTTACAGAGTTGGACAATGTGGTCAGATCAAGCCAGAGATTAAAAGAAAGCCAAGTAAGAGAAATAAATAAAAATTAACTCAATGGAAAACAAAAGTTTATATTTAGGAAAGGATATATAAGTATAGGATACTTTCTGACTCACACGTGAGCAGTGCTGTTGTTCTCTATCATGATACTCTTATTTGGTTTGAAATGGTCTTTCTGTATTCAATGTGAAAGATAAAATGCACATAACAATTAGGTGATTATTTTATTCAGTCTGTTGCAACAGGGAGAACATTCCTCAATGAGGAACTTGTCAAAGAAAAGGAAGGGGAGCCTTGAGCTTTACAGAGGCAGAAAAGAGTCATCAGCAAGTCTTATCAGAATCATGAAGAAGAATGGAGATGGGTCTTGGCTAACTCACCGAGGAAAGGTGGAGGCAGAACTTATCTCCAAACGCAGGACAGCAAAAAGATCCTTTGCTGGTTGGTGGTTTCTCAATATACAAAGGGGTGGGGGAGATTTCTCAATCTTCCCAATCATCCCTGCTTTGTGGAACACATGGCTCAGAAAAATTTCAACATTGTCAGTCTTCCCCCTTTTTCAAAAGGATAAATATCCTTCGTCAACAAAGAACTCATAAATGATCATACACTTCCTATATGGGGCAAAGCAGTGACTAAGAACTTGTGTCTCCAAGATTCTCATTGGCATTGGTTCTGTAAAATTAGTTGAACCACCTGTTGAAAGGTGGTATCAAAGGTCAGTTGTTTTAGGTTCCTGGAGATCAGGTCCTTTAAAGGAGACATGCCTAAAATAAAAATATATATGTATTGTGAAAGGTAAACTGGAGGGTAACCAATCCATTGGATTCCAAGTGGATTTCCAATGTGGTAGAGGAAAGTCTTCTGGTTATGTGGTACTACCTGCTGAATATCTTGAATGTCATTGCTGTTGGTGAAGTTATCTACAGTCTTGGTTTCCTCTCATTTAAGGACATGCATGACTCAAGCCCGTCAAAGGAATTCCCTAGTGGCCCAGATAGAGGCTTATCCAAAGAGAAATCTGGCCCCTGCATGATCTGCTGTGATGGTGAGTCAATCAAGGTTAATAGCAAGCCATCTTCTTTAGACAGGGGATGGAGAGTGGGAAGTGGGGGCGGGGTGTGGAGAATGGAGGAATGGCCAATTGCAAGGCAAACCAGAGTCCTCATAATCATCTGGGCAGTTGAGTTTTAATTCTTAGTGGTGCTGAGTCAAGCAGGAGAGAAAAAAATTGGAAAAGTTAGTGGAGAGGGTTATAGCCAGATAGTGAAGGAAACTAAAAGAATTAAAAAGTTGGTGTGGATTGACATTTTGAGCAAGTAACAGGCTCCAATATAATTTGCAGATAGATAACAAAACTGAGTTTTCCAGAGTGGGAGGAAGTCAATTAAGTAGCCATTAGGCAAGCCAGTATGCATGTCCATCAGTTACCTACAATATACAATTGTGCAAATATGTGCAACATGCTTCAAAGACAGTGAACAAGTCTAGAATTTGATAACATGGAATGGTATGCTATAGGCAATGCATAGTTTTCCAAAACACAAAATTTCTCTCATCTCTCTAAAGTCATACCCTCAAAGATGTTAATGGAAAAAACAAGCAGTTTAAAGAAATTTATCCTGGACCAATATGAACAACCACAGTCCAAGGAAATACAGTCTCAAGATTCCTGAGACTGGGTACCTGAGGTGGTCAGATTACAATTTGGTTTTATATATTTCAAGAAGGCAAGAATTGCAGACAAAGCCGTAAAACACATGGAGGGTATACATTGGTTTGGCCTGAAAAAGTAGCATATCTTGAAGTGGGGACATACGAGTCATAGATGGATTCAGAGATTCTTTAATCTGCAGTTGGTTAAAGAAATGAAATGTTGTCTAAAAACTTGAAGTTAGCAGAAAGACCTGTTTAAGTTAAAATAAGGATGTATGTCAGAATCAGCCACAATATGACCTGTTTAGCAAGACTGATGGCTACAGATGTGCATTAACTCCTGCCCGGCGTGGCCTTAGGACTTGTTTATAATTTGGTACTTTATCGCAGCTAAGAGTCTGTTTTGTCTTGGACAATGTGGTCAGATCAAGCCAGAGATTTAAAGAAAGCCAAGTAACAGAAATAAATAAAAATTAACTCAAAGGAAAAAAAAAGTTTATGTTTAGGAAAGGATATATAAGCATAGGATACTTTCTGACTCACACATGAGCAGTGCTGTTGTTCTTTATCATGATACTCTTAGTTGGTTTGAAACGGTCTTTCTGGCATAAAATTAAGGCATAAAATTCTTAATTGATTTGGACTCAGACAGATAAACAAACAAATGCCTTGAATTAGTCTCTCCCTTTAACATGAGTTGTTTAAAAACAAAAAACACAACTATGTGACAAAGGCTGTGTATGGCCTACGAATTCCAACATATTACTACCTGGCCCTTTATTTAAACATTAGTACTGGTCAGTCGTTGAGCCTAAATGCCAAAAGGCAGGGGTATATTGAGGTGTGTTCAACCTCCCTTCCCATCATGGCAGGAACTCAGTTTTTCAGATTTCTTTCCAGTCTTCTTGGTCAAGAGAGTCTGTTTGGTAGGTGGGGGGCTTAAAATTTTATTTTTGGTTGATAATAATCTCAAAGAAACGTTATTTTTGATAATAAACTAAGGCTAGTCTCCTTAGATTTGACCTGATTACTTACATTGGCTTGGCAAGAATAATAATTTACCGTGTAGGCCTTCTTAAGTTTCTTTGATGAATGTTTTCAGAAGGAATTTCAGATTAGTCTTTTAAAAGCCTCTTGAGGATAGGAAGCCAAGCCAAGAATTTGCTATTATATTTTACCTGTAGTTCTTGTAAATCCTCCATTCTGGAGGTCCACAAAATAAACTACAGTTCCTGAATCTGCCAAGAAGTGACCTTCATTATTACCTGTAAGACTGAGAACTTATAAACCAGATACCAGGCCAGTCCCAAAAGGGCTTTGCAAAGCATTGCCTCCATAAAATCAACCTTTGTTTCTTAAAAGTGTTTGTTCATATTTGATTATCAGAATATCATTTTCCAACATGACATTCCAGACAAAGCCTTGGTTGCACAATGTTTCTCATTTTGTACTGATAACATGTAGGACAGATTCTTAATTAATCTATGGAAATAACTACATTGCGATGAAAATAAGAGTATTAAATAAGAGGTTCCAAATTCTGGAGGGGTTAGTCAGGTGGAATAAGATATATCATCATCTACAAATGTTTCATTTCAGTTTACAGAAGCTGAGTCTACTCGATTGTTGAGTTCGAGGTAGCTTATAAGGAAAGCAAAGGAGCTTCTTTGTATATCCAGAAAATAGAACATTAAAATAGCAATAATATTCCAGAAAAAAACCCACAGCTATCTCTGATCAGGTCATTCAGTCCTATGTAATTAACTCTTGTTTCACTTGATCTTGGGTTAGCGGTCTCATGAGCCCATCTGTTTCTGAACTATGTTCTGGAAATCCTGATTCATTCCATGGATATGGTCTCAAAGTTGCGTAAGTGATGCCAGAAGTCTGTGCTTTGGAGTACCTGGTATAGTCCTTTTCACAGGCTCTGAGATGATTCATCTTTGTTGAAGATGAAGCAACATTATCAAACCACAGCTGACTTGGACCAGGACAAATAAAAGTCTCTTTCTGGCCTCTAGCTGGTTGCACTTTCAAGGAAGCATCAGAGTGAAACAGAAAACCACCTGTAGATGACAAGGGACTTAAAACTGCTGTGGTTAACTTCACACTGGTAAGTTCCAAAAGTGAAAGATCTGATGAGAGTTCATTACAAGAATAATGCAAGTGTAAAAAATATTTTTGATTGTTTCTGTGGCATGCAAAATAAGAGAATAATTACAATTTAAAATAATATAGATAAAATATTCATAAACATAATAATTAGACCTATTTTAAAGAATAGTATACCTCATTAATAAAAACAGATGATCATAATCATTTTAGAGAAAAAAATATTGAGATATATAATAATCCTGACACAATAGGCCATGAATATGCAAAGACTATAGTAAGAATACATCAAGAATATATATCAAGTAAAGAGATTCACTAAGTCTGAGTAGGTCTTAAATATCTTTATATGTTAGTAAAATACTACAGGTAAGTAATATAAAAATCTCTAATTGAAAACCATGGGCTTTGAAGAAGCTAGATTCAAATTAAAGAAGTAAAGTTGTGACAAGTCACATGTTAAAAAATAACTGAAATTATGATTGATAACACTAGACTGTTGTTGCCTAATAATAGGCAAAGCAGTGCCAAGATTTGAATAAACAGAAACGTATCATCAATGGTGAGGGCACTGGCAATTCTTTAAGAACTTCCCAAACAGCATATAATTACTGAAATCCTTATATTAATAAACATTTACTCATACAAATTTAACCTAGGGAAGGCTGAGCATCTCTTCATATTTAACATCTCTTCCCATGCAACTCATTAATAGTAATATTCAAATAAACCTAATTATTTCTAGTACCTCTCTTTTCACATGACGAGCAAACAAATCCTTTGTGATTTATCTGGGGAATCTCAAAGATAGTTTTAAGATGCAAGAGATAGGATTTAGGTTGTGATTTTGGAAAGGAAACATAAAAAATTTTCAGAAGATTTGAATGCTTGATTAAGATGAGATCATGGGATCGTTAGCTATGTATGATCATGGGATACCTGCCTATTAAACCTTAACTACTTATTAAACCAAAGTGACAATAAAAGTTATAAAAGTAAACATAAGAACTCTAGTGGTTAATTGTATGTGTCAGCTGGACTAGCTAAGAGATTCGTAGATAGTTGGGAAAACATTATGTCTAGGTGTGTTTTTAAGGGTATTTCTGGGAGAGATCAGTATTTGAATTGGTAGATAAAGCAAAGATCGCCCTCACCTATGTAGATGGGCACCACACAATTTGTTGAGGGTTTGAACAGAATGAAAAGGTAGACAAAGGATAAATCTGCTGTCTGCTTGAGCTGGAACATTCATCTTCTCCTGCCCTAGGACACTGGAGCTTCTGGTTCTCTGGCCTTTGGACTCAAACTGGGACTGGAACTTACACCATTGGCTTCCCTGGTTCTCAATTCTTGGAGCTAAGGCTGGAATTGTTAAGTGGTAACTGGGCTTTCCTGGGCCTCCAGCTTGCAGACAGCATATTGTGGAGGTCTCAGCCTCCATAATTATGTGAGTCAGTCCCTATAATGAACCTCTTTCTAGATATCTCTATATATCCTTTTGATTCTGTTTATCTGAAGATCTATCCTGATACAGGAGGTATCATTATTGGAAAGAATCTGAGCTTTTGTCTATGTGAGAAATCTTTGTTTTCATAAATAATCAAGGAAAAACAGTAAACATAAACCGTGGAAGTTATTCTGTAAGACATAAAATCCTTGTCATCCAGGCAGATTGCACAGAAGGTAAAGAATAAACTTTTATAACTGCCTATCAAGACCTGACCAATAATCGGAGATAATCTCAGTCTTTTAACAGAGACAAAACTGAATTCCAGTTTTGCATCAGTATGATATTTGATACTAAAGCTTTTTTTAGAAAATCCTATAAATAACTCATCAAACCATAGCTAGCACTGATCAGGACAAATAAAATTCACTTTTCTTGAACTCTCTATATCATTCTATAGCTATACCTGTTTTTTATAATACAAGTTTTCAAAGTGGCAAAAATGAACATATTCATTAACAAACTCCAAATATAGAGCTTCTCTCTATGCTATAAAAATAAACAAAAAGTGTATAAACTTAAAATTATACTTGATAATTAATGTTTCAGTTTTTCCTCTTACTTAGACATGACCTAAGTATCTAATGAATATCCATTAATGTACTCATTTTGTATCAGTCCAAAATTTTAAATTACCAAAAGATCTTGGAAACTATCATCAAGCCAACATATTACAAAATATAACTACTGTTGAAATAAAGTTTGTTAGAATAAATATTTAATTTGGTTAAACACGGATTGGCATCTTTCATAGCCTTAAACATTTAGTAGAAGTAATGTTAGTTTATTTAATCATTACACCTGTATAAGTTTAGGAAGAACATATCCAAGCAGAATAAATATGTCATTTAACTCAGAGAAGACATAACTATTTTTATTAAACCAACAACATTAAATTAGTCTCATTTGCAAAATATTTATCCAAATTATGTGAACTTGAATTCCTAAAACATTTGGGTTAGTTTCATTAAGAATGCCCCCTTTTTGGCACACGGAAATTATTGGAACTTTAATTTCCAACATTTCTGGGAATTTTAGGAATATTCAGTTATAAAGCACTTATCTCTGTAAGTCAATCAGAATAGAGCTCTTTTAATTTAAGATATGTTATAATCTAATTTAATATCACTTGGAGGCAGGAAAATATACACTCACACAATGATATTTAAAGGCTTTTTTGAATTACAGGTCTAAACATTTATGTGGTTGAGAAAGAGCTTATTATAGCTTAAATGTCATGATTTCAGCCATGGATCAAACATAAATTAAGAAATAGAAAACTTACCACTCCAGATACCTACTTCTCAGTAGGCATAAAATTCTTAATTTATTTGGACTCAGACAGGTAAACAAACAAATGCCTTGAACTGATCTCTCCCTTTAACGTGAGTTGTTTAAAAACAAAAAAACACAACTATGTGACAAAGGCTGTGTATGGCCTATGAATCCCAACACATTACTACCTGGCCCTTTATAGAAAATCATTGCCACCCTGCAATTCAAAGACCTCTAGATGTTCTCAGGAGAATTTGAATTCATTTCTTACAAATGTACAAACTAGAAAGGGTGTATATAGATTTTGAATCCTAAACAGGCCTCGAAGACCACTAGTTCCAGAAATTAAGGTGTTTCGTTTACAAGAGCTTAGTCAAAAAAAAAAAAACACCAAAAACCAAAAAACAAAACAAAACAAAAAAACCCCAAAAACTCTTAAGAATCAAGAAAGAAGTTTGTACCATAATAATTTATTAGAAAAACAAGAGATGGTGACTCATTATGCCCTGCCCCAGGGAGATGAGAAGAATGTTGGTTGTACTAGAATGGGATGGGTGGTCTGTCTTTGGAGGAGGTCAGTGGACCAAAAGGAGGAGAATCTTGTTGACCATGTGGAGAATGTGCTAGAATGGGGTGGCTGGTCTTTCCTTGGAGGAGGTCAGTGGGCCAAAAGGAGCAGAACCTTGTTGAGCATCCCCTGCCAGCCCCATGAAGACAAGTCATTGCCTGCTGGCCACAGGCAATTGGAATGGCCACTGTATGATGTTTGAACTGAGCAGTCAGGTGTCCTTTTCCTTATTAGGAGTGAGGCTCTCCTTCCACAGCTGCCTGAAATTACCTGGGATCATCCAGCAGAAGGTACATCCCGACACTTTGTGGAGCTCCATTCAAACTGCCCCATGTGGATACCCTTCTTTGTAAAGGCACAAGATGTATGGGTTAGGAACAGGTGGGGATGGCGGGGATAGGCTTTAATCCCAGGAAGATGATGATGGTACAGAAGACAAAATGCATGTGTATATTTGGGTAGCCCTGCACAATAGTGAAACTTACTCCCGTCACATCTTGATAAAATGAGAGAAATAAGCCCATACAGCTGTTACAGAGATTAAATGAGATAATGAATGTTAAACACTTGGAACAAGGCCTGGCACATAATCAGTGCTCAATAAATGATAGTAATGCCATCTAAAATGACTTTTTAAATTAAATTAGGGCAATAAAAAGCAGCATAGCTGGGAAATGGTACTTCATTTATACCATGGAAAAGCTGCCTTAGTCTGTATTGTGCTGCTATAACAGAACACGTGAGACAGAGTCATTTATAATGAACAGAAATCTATTGATTCACGGTTCTGAAGACTGGGAAGCACAATATCAACGTGCTGGTGGCTGGCAAGGGCTTTCATTCTGCGTCTAACATGGTTGAAGACATCACATGGCAGAAGGGTAAAAAGAGAAAGAGAGAGGCAGAGAGAGAGCAAGAGAGAAAGCTGAACTCACCCATTTATACCTGCGTTAATCCCACCCACAAGAGCTAAGCCTACATGGGCTAATCACTTCTCAAAGGTCCCAACTCTTAATACTGTTACAATGACAATTAAATGTAAGCATGAGTTTTGAAGAAGACAAACATTCAAACCATGGTAGAACCCTTCATTGAATTTCATTCAATCTTCAATCATTTGGCCTACATGTATTATGGGAAAAGTACTAGGTTCTGTACAGGGACCATGTCTTGAATAGAATAGGATAAAAATATGTGCAAAAAAGTGTATAAAAGACAGTGTGAAATAAATGCAATAAAAGTTATATAAGAATTTCAATGAAGTAACGTTAAGAACTCCTTAATCTCCCTAGAGCTTTCTTTTTATTTAACTAGATTCCAATTTTGTTTCCAATATATTTTTCTTAAAATTGAAAAAAAATGTATTTTCTTTGAAAATAAAAATTCTAATATATTTTATATCTTTTTTGGCCTTATTGGGAGAAATTTTACAGCCTTCACTAAATCAATCTTGCGAGTAAGGACAGCCCATGACTAGACATGTCTTCTCAAAGGTGTGTAGATTACACTGCATTGAGGACCTGTGAGAGTTAAATATCAACTTTTTTCCTACCTTGTCATGATTAATTGTTTCTAAATCCAAATTATGAGAAGTCATACTCTGAGTTCTGGGATAGTGTGGTTGCAAAGCTGATGTTTAAAGAATTTATAA